TTTTTTTTTTTTTTAGCATAACCCTTTCAACATAACCTGGTTTAACATAACTTAATGGAGAACATGTTGTTAGCCATTACTTCTTTTGTTCTTATCTGATGAAGCCTGAGGCTATGGAGGAAAGAGGCAATTTGAAGGTCTGTCCTACTGACCTTGCTATTTGGAGGCAGTTACTTCGATCTTTAAACCAAGGCATAATTAAGAAACTTCTAGGGCATACAGAAATTTATGTGCAAACCTCTGCTCCCATGTGGGCCTTAAGTCATGGAGTTTTTACGACTACAACCGACCAGGCTGACCTTAGGTCAGGGGGTTTTTAGGCCTGCAACCAACCCGGCCACATGGGATTCTGCCTCATTTCCTCTCAAGTATGCCTATACAAAGTCTTTTACTGCTCTCTCTCAAACAGCTTTTTTGGCCAGAGGCATATAGGCCTTTCCTCTATAGGTTCTTATAGTCCCAGCTACTTGGGAGGCTGAGGCAAGAGAATCACTTGAGCCCAAGAGTTTGATTTTGCTGTGAGCTATGACACCATAGGACTCTATTGAGGGTGACAAAGTAAGACTCTGTCTCAAAAATAAATAAATAAACAAACAAACAAATAAATAATTGAAGAAAGGTTGACTTGTACCCTGGGTACCATAATACTGGGAACAGAATGAGTCATTGAGTTTTAAAATATTATTTGAGTAATGTTAATAAAAATCTTTTGGGGGTATATATTTGAATGCCAAATAGTTATTAACTATCCAAAAAGGGGTTTTCCTTGGTTTCTAGACAGGGATTTGTATCAGTCACCATTTTCCAGATAGAACCAATAGGATATATAGACATATGAAAGGGAATTTCTTACGTGAATTGACTCACATGAGTAGGGAGGCTGAGAAGTCCCATGACAGACTGTCTGCAAGCTGGAGAGCCTGGGATGCTAGTAGCCTGGCTCAGTCCAAGTCCTCAGAAGCAAAGACCAACGCTATAACTCTTACTCAGAAGCTGAAGGCCTAAGAACTCCAGGGGGCCACCGGGCTAAGTTCTGGAGTCCAAAAGCCATAGAATCTGGAGTTCTGGAGAAGAAGGGGAAGAAGAGCGTCCCAGCTCCAAGACAGAGGTGAAATTGCCTTTTTGTTATGTCTCAGCTTGGTCTACTGGGTGGTAGGTCTATCAGGTGGTTTCTGGCCACATTAAGAGTTGATCTTCCCCACTTGGTCCATTGACACTCCAGACTTCTCTTGAAACACTCTCACAGACACATCCAGAAATAATGGTCTACCAGTTCTCTAGGTAATCCTTAATTCAGTCAAACTGACACCTAAAATTAACCATCAGAGGGTTTTTGTTGATATGTCTGACTTCCCTGAACGAGTTTCTGGCCAAGGAGTATTGTTTTCAATAGTAGTAGACTGCTAAAAATGTCTTTTAACAGGACAGTTTTATACTACTTTTAAAATGCTCTGGGCTATTTCCATTCTGAATACTGAAGCATACATTTAAGGTAAAGCAAAGTATTCCTAACACATAGTTACTGAGAACAGAACTCTGAGGAAATGAGACACTTAGCAGGTAAACATTTGACTTTGGGATGAAACTTTCCTTTGTTTTAGGATGGACTGCTTGAGTGAATCCTTTTAGTAATACATTTGAAAGGCAAACACCTCTTCATTTTTCTCAGGAAAGCCAAGAACATAGGGTAATAATGCAAAAGCTTCAGAGTAAGATATTTTCTTTATAATAATGTAAATGTAGTATATTGGCAAATTAATGAAAAAAATTTCATCTAAATCTGGATTTAGACTATTCTTTGCCTGAAATGATTGTGTAAGTGAAGTTACATGGCTTTTTGACCAAGCAGTGTCCATTTGAGGTTTGGAACTATGGCAGAAAAGTCACGCAGTCATGGACTTTCCCCCCCTCAAGGCAGTCAGAAGTCTGTAAGGTTGTAGACCAGCTTGAAGCAGCACTAGATGAACTGGACCATTGGTGTCCTGCACAGGAACAATTCTGATCTGGGAAATGTTTGAGGACTCTGGGGATTATCCCAGATGTCTTTGGGATGAAGGCAGCACTACCCTGAAGGAAATGAGTGCTCATATTCCTGCCATCCTGAGCTGGGAAAGGGAAGGGTGTTGGACTAGAAAGAGAAGGCACTATATCTTTCTTTGGGGCACAGAGGGGATTGAACATGAAATCAGGAATATTGAGGTATCTGAAAATTTCTGTGAATGGTGGCTGCGACAGCTTGGAAATTTGATTCTCCAAACCTCATGTTAAATTTGATCCCAGTGTTGGGGTTGGATCAAATGGGAGGTGTTTGGGTCAAGGAGTGGATCCTCCATAATTGGCGTAATGCTATTCTTGTGAATGAGTCCTTATTCTCAGTTCCCACGAGAGTTGGTTGTTGAAAAGAACCTGGCACCTCCTCACCTCTCTCTCTTGCTGCCAATCTCTTGCTTTCTTTTTTGCCATGTAATCTCTGTGATCCCTGCACATGCCACTCCCCTTCCCTTCTGCAATGAGTGGAAATAGCCTGAGGCTCTCACCACATCCAGATGCCAGCACCATGCTTCTTGTACTTCCTGCAGAACTGTGAGCCAAATAAATCCCTTTTTATAAATTACCCACCCTCAGGTGTTGCTTTACAGCAACATAAAAATGGACTAAGACAAGAGTGCAGCGGGCCCCTACTTCTATATGGAAAAGATTGGTGGGAGTTGAGCAGAGAGATCCAATTTGTGTTTGGTCTGTGGCTGTCAGGGTAACCACCTTTATTCATGGGATAGGGTGGCTTCTAGGCATATTCTGTTCTTTTTGATCCTTTAGTAAAGCCATAAGGGACAGCCCCTTCCAAGACGTGCTTTGGAGCATCAGTTGAGGGGTCTAAGTCCCAGCTTGGGGCCTATGTGGAACTGGGAAAGCAGAAGGAGCCTGGGGTGGTGGTTAGTTATGACTGGAGATGCCGTGCACAGAGAAGAGCAATGGCCCAGGGAGAGCATCTGGCGGGACGCCCAAGGCTCTGTGGAACTTGTCATCATCCCTCAAGTTTTCACTGTTATTCTTGGGGGAGTGACTCAGTAAAAGATGAGACTTTCAGCTTTACAGTGAGGTAGGTCAGGTTATCATCATCTGGGCATTAGAGAGAAGGTTGCCTTTGGAAAGCTGGAGAACTTGGGAAAATAGCTGAGTTGCACATCCTTCAATGGTCAGCTTAGATATATTAGGTTGGTGTAAAAGCAATTCAGGTTTTGTTTTTTTTTTTTTTTGCAGTTTTTGGACAGGGCTGGGTTTGAACCTGCCACCTCCAGCATATAGGGCCGGCGCCTTATTCCTTTGAGCCACAGGCGCCGAGCCAAATGCAAGGTATCTTGATCTAGGTGCTTTCTCTGGCTATAAAAATCTAATATTGGTGTTTCTTAATGGATTTAAAGTAGGCAAATTCTAAAATCTACCATCTTCCAATCTTTCAACAGTATGTCTAAGAAGTCACAAAATATACCAAAACCTAGTAGGAATAAGACATTTAGTTGTTTATATGAGATCTGGGCTAAGCTTATAAAGGATTTTTTCCTTCTTGATTCCTGTTCTAGGTAGAAGTGTTCAAAAAGTGTAGCAGATAGATATAAAAGAATAGACCAATAGTCTCCAGCATCCACTGGAGACAGCAATGAAGGACACTGACTTGAAGAACAATTCTACAAAATGAAGTCAGAGAGAACTGACATTTAGCTCTCACTGTGGTCTATCCATTTGCTGACCACTTTGAGCAATTTTTTTTTTTTGAGTCTCATTATGTCCCCTTTCAGTAGAGTGCCGTGGTGTCAAACTGACAGCAACCTCGAACTGCTGAGCTCAAACGATTCTCTCACACCAGCTTCCCAAGTAGCTGGGACTATAGGCACCCGCCACAACGCCCAGCTATTTTTTGGTTGTGGTTGCCATTGTTGTTTAGCAGGCCCAAGCTGGGCTCAAACCCACCAGCCTTGGTATATGTGGCTGGCGCCCTACTCACTGAGCTACAGGCACCAGCCGAAGCAATCTTTCAAATAAAATTAAAAAGGTGTAAAGGTAGTTGGGAATCTTATCCTGTTGGACCTTTACTCACCCAGTGTTCCCAATGTGATTTTGAATGGTGAAAGGTAATGGTACAGATGGATAATGGGCTGTGAGAGACAAAGTTATTTCAAACTTTGCAAATGCTGCAGAGCTAGAGAATAAAAGCCTCAATCTGTAAAAGAAAACATCCAAGATTAAAAATACAAAAAAAACTGGATTGAAATGCAAATACATTTTCTTTTTACATTGGCATGCCAAACTTAAATGTACATTATTTCTTGTCATTACGAAATGAACAAGGGTAAAACATGTGGGATAAGGTATTATTATATTTATTTATTTATTTATAGAGACAGATCTCATTTTGTTGCCTGAGTAGAGTGCTGTGGTGTCACAGCTCACAGCAACCCTTAGCTCTTGGGCTTACGTGATTCTATTGCCTTAGCCTCTCAAGTAGCTGGGACTACAGGTGCCCACCACACCCAGCTATTTTTTTGTTGCAGATTGGCCAGGGCTGGGTTTGAACCCACCACCCTCAGTATATGGGGCCAGTGCTCTACTCGCTGAGCCACAGGCGCCACCCTGGGACAAGGTATTATGATATGATATAAAAAAAAGACTTTATAATCCTCAGCCTCCCAGAGTGCTAGGATTACAGGCCCGAACTTGAACCTGAACATGCCTGGCCCCGTTTAACAGTCATTATAATGACTGTTTTTTATCAGTTATGAAATATATTATCAAAATATATTAGTTTAATAATTTTTTTTTTGAGACAGAGTCTATTGTCTTAGCTAGAGTACTGTGGTGTCGTCATAGCTCACACCAACCTCAAACTCTTGGGTTTAAGTGATCCTCCTGCGTCAGCCTCCCAAGTAGCTGGGACTTCAGGAGCCAGGCACAATGACTGGCTAATTTTTCTATTTTTAGTAGAAATGAGGTCTTACTCCTGTTTATGCTGTTCTCAAACTCCTGAGCTCAGGCAATCCTCCTACTTTGGCATCCCAGAGTACTGAAATTACAGAACTGAGCCACTGTGCCTAGCCAGTTTAATAATTTTTCTTTCTTTCTTTCTTTCTTTTTTTTGAGACAGAGCCTCAAGCTATCTCCCTGGGTAGAGTGCTGTAGCATTGCAGCTCACAGCAACCTCCAACTCCTGGGCTTAAGCGAGTCTCCTGCCTCAGCCTCCCAAATAGCTGGGACCACA